CACAATTCCTCTTCACAAGTTATAATGCTTATAAATTCTTAAGACAAACTTGTAATGATCGTGATAGTGTTTCATTTGAAACATCATTCTTATACTTTTTAACGTTATACCCTCAAAAATTGATTGTAGTAGCAAAACGTGTAGTGTAACTAAAGCTATGTTGAATATGGTACTGTTATAGATAATCAATACTTATACTATAAGTCAAAAAATTAGAAACAGTTCAACTAGGATACTCTCAATTAATCGCTACGCTGATACAGAGGCATACATATTCTGAAAGCACTTGGAAAAAAGAATTTGTTTTGAAGATTTTTTCTCCATATGATTTGCTTATTTCTACTTCTTTCTAGTTAATCATATCTATATTTGTAATGATGATGAAAGACTTTCACAAAATCACTCAACAAAAGATGAAAAAAGTTGAAATGGATATGAAATCATATAAATTAATCACGGCGAAATTTTAATACTATAAAGAAAATTTATTTTAATATTTTTAATAGAACAAAAGATGTAGTATTCTTATTTAGTTGCTATTGCTAATGAAAAGAAATAAACAATTTTTTGAGATTTCTGATGTAAATTAAATATTTCTGAAAAAATTGTAACTGGAAAATTTTCAATAAATGAATCAAAATATTCTTAATATTTCAGACAAATGTGCACAACAATAGATCAAATTATAGTAAAATTTGTCAACTATGAAGTAAAGATCTTATTTTTTTTCTTTGATTCGCACGTCTGACCATTTTATGAGAATAAACTCTATAACAGCTTATAAAATATAGATTTCAAGCAAAAATAAATAACAAAAAAAACTATTTAATCTTTGGTGATTATAATTAAGAACACGATATTCGTGTCTATTATGTACCATTTTATATCGATAAAACAATCTTAACAAAAATGTTCTTTACAATTGTTATCTCGATTCTCTTCTTTTTGTAGATAATATCATTCTTTCTCGTTTTTTTCTTCCAACAAGTAATTAAAATATCACGTAAAATCTACGATACAAAAAAAACATCCACTTATTTACTGATAAGATAAAGAACAATATATATATATAACCAATATATAAGTTTATACAGCAGATATTTCATCAACAGTTTACAATGGCAAATCAAACTGTCGCCAACTTCCTTACGTTACCGGTAGAAATTGTCTACCGAATTTTGGATCATCAATCAGATTTCACCATCCTCTGTTCAATGAGAAACGTATGTCAACGATTCAACAGTATCGTAGACAGCTACGATCGATACCAGGTAAACGGCTTTTTATCAAGGTGGTTTACTTTTTATGTATTGACTCCAACAAAATATATGTGAATAAACGATTTGTCACTCAAAATAATCCATCACTCATTCCTCTCTCTCCAAAAATTCATCTCTTATATTATGACAATATAAACATAATGTCGTGATATTCAGAAAAGACAATTCCTTTTTCTTTTCTTTCTTTTCAAATTCATCTAAAGATTCCACGTTTCAAACTAGGTATAATGTCATAAACATACAGTATTTAGGAAAGAACGAAACAAAAGGAATCAAAATAATGTTATTTTGCTTTTTACGTGTGTCTAAGCACCTGTTTTTAAAAACCATTTCGATAATATAAATCAGTTTTTAAAAAAAATTAGTCGTCGATTAACGAAGTTATCTTGTTATAAATAACTTCCTCAATATTCCTTTGAAAAATAACTCCGACAATACTCTCCTGAGAACATAGACGACTGTAAGCATAGGTGCCGGTGAATGTAAATGGAGAGAAGACTGACTCATAACAGAATCCGCATTCTCCCAATCACACAGTTCACATCTATATTAACAAGACAGAATATTTCTTGAAGGAATAATACTTCTATAGCAAATTTATTTCCCAAATAGCTGCTTCGAATTGGATTTATCTAGAGCACACTTTCTTAACGACGAAATTTCGAGAATAATTCGTCCTCGATATTTTTTATACGACATTTTAGCGTGTAATCGTCTTCTACTCATATGGAGTCTAACATTTCGAAATAAATTGTTTGACTTTTCACTTTTTACAAACAAATGTTACCTGATGAGCACAATCGTATAGTACCATCGAAAGCAGCTACTGGAATCACTATATATTCTCACTTAGATAAATCATAAGAATCAATACGGCCAAGTTCCAGAACTCATATAAAGCTTTGATACAAAACCAATATCAGGTTTGAACAACGAATGTGAAAGAAAACTGTCAGCTGGCTACTGACAAGAAACTATATTATGCCATACCCACAAAAACCTAACGAGCGCTGCACTATATTTTACTACGCACTAAACCGTTTACTACCATACATCCCTATTTAGCCACGTAATAATACGATTCACTATCATTTTAGCAGAAGTAACTTACAAACTATTTTCTGTCTTTCGAAAGCATCAAGAAATTACAGCAATACGCAGATAAAAATTTTCTATCACTAGTTCACTTTCGGTAATTTCTTTTCAGCTTAAACTTTCATGAACCATCATCACACACTATCCAGCATTCAAAAATTTCATAAATATTCATAATACTATCATAACCCTAGAACGAGATCATATCAACATTCGCTTCACTGCTCTAATTCCATATAATATCATCCAACCATTCGGTCGCTTTACTTATACCATATCTTTATCTACCCCGTTTTCATCTAGACACTCACCACCTTAAATCTTCCAAACAATCATATCTTAGATCTTGGAGCACAACCTTTGGGTCATACATTACAACGCAACACAGTAACTCTCATTCTTTCTTTACCTATACCATGACGTTACCTCAACTTTTCCACTTAGACACTCACCACTCTAAATCTTGGATTTAATGAAATCGAAGATGTTGGAGCTCAATCTTTGGCTGACGCATTAAAACACAATACAGTAACTCACATCTTCTCTTTGTCTATACTTTGTCTTTGCTTTCACTTTTTCATATAGACACTAATCACATTAAATCTTCAATATAATCAAATCGGAGATGTTGGAGCACAATCTTTGGCTGTTGCATTACAACAGAATACAGTAACTCGCATTCTCTCATTATATAGACCATGTCTTTACCTCGACTTTTTCATATAGACGCTCACCACATTAGATCTTGAAAACAATCAAATCTCACATGTTGGAGCACAACATTTGGCTAATGCATTACGACACAACACAGTAGCTCTCATTCTCTCTTTCTCTATATCGTATCTTAACCCCGACTTTTTCATCCAGGTACTCACTACATTCATTCTTGAAGATAATCAAATCTTAGATATTGGAGCACAACATTTGGCTGATGCATTACGGCACAATAAAGTAACTCCCATTCACTCTTTATCTATATCGTATCTTAACCTTGACTTTTTCATCTAGACACTAATTACATTAAGTCTTCAATCTAATCAAATCGGACCGTTTGGCGCACAATCTTTGGCTGATGCATTACGACAGAATACAGTAACTTTCATTCGCTATTTATCTATATTTTGTTTCTATCTCCTCTTTTCCATCCAGACACTCATCACACTAAATCTTGGTTTCAATAAAATCGGCAATGTTGGAGCACAATCTTTGGCTGATGCATTACAGCAGAATACAGTAACTCACATTCTCTCTTTATCTGTACTTTGTCTTTACCGCTACTTTTTCATCTAGACACTCACTACCCTGGAGCTGTTCGTAAATCAAATCGGAAATGTTGGAGCACAATCTTTGGCTGATGCATTACGACACAACACAGTAACTCGCATTCTCTCTTTATCTATACTTTGTCTTTACCTCCTCTTTTTCATCCAGACACTCACCACACTAAATCTATTATCTAATGAAATTGGAGATGTTGGAGCACGATCTTTAACTGATGCATTACGACACAACACAGTAACTCGGATTCTCTCATTATCTAGACCACATTTTTAGCTCCACTTTTTCGTCTAGGGACTCACAACATTAGATCTCTCGAACAATGAAATCGGGCGTTTTGTAGGACGATCTTTCTTTGATGCATTAAAGTGCAACACAGTAACTCTCATTCTGTCTTTATCTATACCATATCTTTACCTCCATTTCTTTATTTAGACACTCACCACATTAAGTCTTGCATATAATGATATCAACGATTTTGGAGCACAATCTTTGGCTGATGCATTACGACATAATACTGTAACTCTGATATTTTGTTTATCTGTACTATGCCTTTGCCTCCACTTTTCCATGCAGACACTCACCACACTAAATCTATTATCTAATGAAATCAGACATTACGGAGCACAATGTTTGGCTGATTCATTACGACACAATACAGTAACTCGGATTCTCTTTTTATCTATACTATGTCCTTACCGGCACTTTTTCATTCAGACACTCACCACAATTAATCTGGGATCTAATGAGATCGAACATTTTGGAGCAAAACCTTTGGCTGATGCATTAAAAAGCAATACAGTAACTCGCATTCTCTTTGTATCTATACTATGTCTTTTCCTGCACTTTTTCATGCAGACACTCACCACTCTAAATCTGAAAGCTAATAAAATCGGACGGTTTGGAGCACAACATTTGGCTGATGCATTACGACACAATACAGTAACACGTATTTTCTCTTCGTCTATACTTTGTCTTTACCTTCAGTTTTTCATGTAGACACTCATCACGTTAAGTCTTCAAATTAATCAAATCGGAGATCTTGGAGCACAATCTTTGGCTGATGCATTACGACATAATACAGTAATTTTGATATTCTGTTTATCTGTACTATGTCTTTACCTCCACTTTTTCATGCAGACACTCGTCACCCTAAATCTCGAATCTAATGACATCGGGAATGTTGGAGGAGAATCTTTTGGTTATGCATTACAACACAATACAGTAACTCTGATTCTCTTTATTTATACTTTGCCTTTATTTCTACTTTTTCATCTAGACACTAATAAGATTAAATCTTCGATTTAATCGAATTGGAGATGCTGGAGTACAACTTTTGGCTGATGCATTAAGAAGCAATACAGTAACTCACATTCTCTCTTTATCTGTACTTTGTCTTTACCGCTACTTTTTCATCTAGACACTAATCACATTAAGTCTTCAACATAATAAAATCGGAGATGTTGGAGCACAATCTTTGGCTAATGCGTTACGACACAACACAGTAACTCACATTCTTTCTTTACTTTTACCATGTCCTTAGCGCCTCATTTTCATCTAGACGCTCACGAGGCTAGATCTCGGTGATAATCAAATCGGAGATGTTGGAGCACAATGTTTTGTTGATGCATTACAATACAATACAGTAACTTTCATTCTCTCTTTACATATACCATGTCTGTACCTCTATTATTTTATCTAGACACTAACCGCTGTAAACCTCCGGATGTATGACATCAAGGTTGACGTGAGGAATTTAATCCTTGAATTGCTTAATCGAAATAGAAAGGACAATGAAAACTATAGATGGTTTGATTGAATGTATTTGGTTGACGAATGTGTTTCTATTGATGATAAACCGGATATTTTTCGTGTGTTGTAATTTTCACAAAAAACGTAAATAAAACGGCTTGTTGTCAAACTTAATGTACAGAAAGATTCTGTGTTCAATATTATTGAACCAAGTATGATTGTTTTAGTTTTGCAGTTGAATAGCTGAATCATCAAGAACCCATACAGGGATAGGAAAAAAGTTCAGTACCAATTTGTCTTTTAAGTAATAAAAGTCTTATATCGAAGTACCTTTATATATGTTTAATAGTCCTATTGCATTTAGTTATGATAGTTTTTTTTTATTTAATTTGATGTAGTGTAATATGTATTGGAAGTATTTGTTCGAAAGTGTTAAATGAAAGTGTATGATGATGTTGAGATAGCTGTGTAGCACACTGATCAAAGACAGACAGATAATTCGTTTGCTGTACATGGAATAGTGATGTGGATAATTGTTGAGATGAAAATAAGTAGATAGACATATAAGTAGGGTAGATTTTATGGAATAAATAAGTATCATGAATATCATAGAGACTAAGCAATTGTATGAAACTGCATTGTGATAAATATCACATTGAATTGTAGTACCATGAAGAATCGAAAAAAACAATAGTTGAAGTTTCTATAATTCATGTATGTCTTATCTAATAAAATTGATGATAAAGTATTGTGAATGTAATTATACAATAACATATATTATATTTATTTTTGAGATAGATACGTGAATATTATTACATCAGATACATATTTATTGATACGTGGTATACTCAGGACTAAATGCTTCATTAGTTTTTGAAATTATAGTGTATTATCAATATCAGGTAGACGAAGAATAGATTATGATTATTTAATTAATTGAAATGATTATATTGCCGAAACAAGTTATACTTGATATATTTATACGATACTCTGAAGAATCTTCAAAGAAACACCATTAAAGAGAAGTACGATATTATCTACTATAAATTATAGATAAACTTTGCGTTATATAAAAATCTTAAATGTTTATAAATTAGTGTCATTCATTGTTGTATAATTTATAGAAAATATTACAACGTTTATGCAAGAGAGTTTTAGTTTGATTTTCATTAAGAATGAATTTGAAGCGATTGATGAATTAGCAGTATTTTTTCAAAGATGTTTATAAAATAATTCTATTTCATAGAAAATGCATGTCGTGTTAACACAACGAGTAAAATGATCTAAATAATCACTGTGTAAACATCTTCATAACCCAGCTTATAAACACAGTTTTGCTCATCTAAAAAGATTTTAATATTTATTAATTAAACCGCTTTGTTCTTAATAAAAAATATCAGGTCGATCTTGATATACTCGTCTAGTGTTTCAGTCATTATTTTCTGATGTTCCATTCCTGAGATTATTACAATGCAAAACGGCAACTTTTAAATGTGTACCTCGAGAAAATGAGAAAACTCGCACAGAATTACATAAATGCCTCGCTTCACATCGCATTAATATTTATTTATTGTACAACAAAACGAATTTTACAGAATAATGAGTATTTTGAAATAGTCAATACATTTACAAAGTACGAATACATATTAATACAACAATACTTAAAATTTAGTACAAGCTAAAGTCAAATAAAACAGTTCAAATACAAATTTTTATAATTTTCTGCAAATGTAATTTATTGAACAGGAGCAATACGTCGGGTGATAGAAAATAAATAAGATGGTTGTTGTTGTCGTCTGACAGCATTTTTAAACCATTGACAGCGGAAAAGTGCTTGAAGTTCTTCACGAAAAAGTCGTGCAGTAATCGTATAAATAACACATGTAGAACCAATATTGATATAAGTTAAAAGTTGAGAATTAACTGATATAAGCCTTTCTATACTTTTTCTTAAATCTGATTTTGGCACATAAGCAGTAATACCTTGATAGACATTGTATGATGCAAGAGGCATCGTTAATATAACAAATGATATAACCTATATGAAAATAAGTTTAGTTTATTTATTTATTCTGAACAGTATATATACCTGTACAAGAAGCATTCGAAGAAGTTGAGCATTAATCATCTGTTGTCGTTTTTGTGGTTGTATCATGGTTCCAATTCTTTTCATAACAAGAGATACACTTTTCTTTGTTTTTCGAACATTATATATGGTTAGAACAGCAAAAATCATATATAAAATTGGTATCATAAATGCATAGAGAACAACATAGTAAATATAGAAGAAAAGAAGAAAATTAAATGAAATAAAACTACACCGATTGATTTGTATCCAATCTATATACACTAAAATATGTATATGTGCAATAAAACAAAGTAATGGTATAAATATTAAAAGCCATCTAGCTGTTTTTATATGACTAAATTGACGAATTGTAGCTCGTGTATGTGTTGAACAATATCGATCAATACATGCAAGAAGAATAAACCATGAACCCAAAAATAATGTTGAATAATACATATAAGGTAAAAACTTACATAATACACGGTATTGTGATATTAGTGAATATCCAAATCCACTACTTAAAACAGAATAAAAAATACTAACAAAACTACATATAGTATTGCTAATGCTTGCTCCAATTAAATAAAGTGAACATGTATTTTTTCGTAGTTTTGGTCGTGCAAGTACAAGAACACTTAATGTATTACTTATCTGACCAAATACAAGTACTGATAACATAGGCCATTTTCGAAGTTGTGCTGTCCATGCATCCATTTTTGTCTTCGATTTCAAAATGAAAACTATTCAAGATAATCTGATCATATTTATCTGTATTTAAATCATGAGAAATATTATGACAGTAATTCTTTTATTTTGCTCGATTATTTCAAAAATAAAGGATTAAAATACATGCAAATATGATATAAATAACTAAAAAAGATAAGTGCAAACTAGATCATTTTTATATTCACAAAGTATTTTGTTTTGTCAAGAAAATTAATATAAATTTTCCTTATAGAACATTATAGATGTTGGGAAATAAATCAATTTGTAAAATCTTTCGAAGTTACCATTGATATAAAAGCTTGACAAAACTACTATATCTACAGACCCAGGTCGAATAATCATATGTCCGATCATATCTGATCTGATGAAATCAGACAAAAAATCGTAGTCTCTGATTTCTTGTACTCAATTGTACTTAAAAAATATACTGAAAATACAGACGTCTTAGATCTTTCAAGAAAAATCTGATATGAATTGATACAAGATTTCAGAGACTACGATTTTTTGTGAGATCTGATGTCAGATTTTTTGACCGGGGAAGTTATTAATATCTGAAATGGTTTTTATAGCAATTACCTTATATATAATCATTCTTATTTCACTATCATATCTATTTATCATAAAAGATTATATAGAAGGCAAAGCTTATTTTGACAGATCACAAACGTTTAATCCTTCAATGTTCTTTTTATCTGAAAGTACGAAGATGAAGAATCAAGTCTAATTAAGTTTTTCCAACAATATCCATCTATTCATTAGAACAATGGTTATGATAGTCATCATATATAGATTAAAACTTTGACTTCTACACATTAATAACTATTACTGAATTTGTTTGAATCAGAATAAAAATAGGAATCCTAATTTGAAAGTATAAGAAAGCGTTATTATGATCATAACGATTAGAGAAAAAAAACTTTAATTGTTCTTATTCAAAACTGATTGTACGGGGCAACTGAACTGCACTGATAATAATTCATCAATTTTACTAAAAAAAAAATTTTTTTTCTTAATAATTGAAACGCGCCTATCTTTAATATGTTAAAAATTAACTTCGTTGTAGTCTAAGTTCAACTTCAACTATATAATATGATCATTTATCATACTTTTGGATATATAAATGTTTATGTTTACTTCTTTTTAATTATAATTTATGAAACAACAACAACAATAGGTAAGAATTAATTAAGAAGTGTAGTTTTTCCATGAATCAAATTTATGACTAATAGCTTTATCATATAATGA